GGTGAACTCCTAGTGAATATGATGCAAATAGCCATGTCATCCTTTGGGTTTATTGAATTTCAGGTTCAAAAAATCTCCTGACAAAGGAAACAAAAAATATACATGAGTACTATACATGCCCCCAGCACTGGTTGTGTGCAAGATGACAGAAAAAAAGTGGACATCCTCTTTTCCCTGTCTTATCATCATCCAGGCAGGGTGTTTGTGTATGGAAATCAGCTGCTGGCAAGCCAGCAAATAAGTAATCAGTGATCAATACAGTATATGCAGATTTTTTTTTTTGCTGTAAATCTGCCCATGGTATATGCATCAGCCTTGTTTTTTAAGAAAGCAGAAGGATCACTAGAGTGGAAATAATGTATCTGAAGAGTGAGGATGTTCATTTTCAGTATACTTCATTTTCATTGTCAGATTTTTGCCTCCTTGCTGCATGCTGGGATTGAGAAGTTTTCTTGACAGGGCACCTGTGATCCATTGCTTACGTCATGCAGAGTAAACACAGCATCTTTCTTGAGACAGACTGCCCAGTTTATCTCTGCTAGCAAACTGTAGTAGAGAAATACGATAAAGGCAGTTCTACCACAGGTGGACTTGATTTCTGAGGATGCAGAGAATGCTTGCACTGCTGGGGACTCTGCTGTTTTGCGATCAGCTTTAATTTGCAACTGAAGTTAGATAAAAATTCCACCAAAGTCAGCAGTATGGGAAATGTGCTGAACTAACATAGTCAATCATCTGCTTTGAAGGGTGAGTGCTTTCTGGCCAACTTACATTCCTGGTGAGCTAATGTTTTAGAGAGTGGCATGCACATCTACCTTCAGTGAATTTGTTGACCTCTCTGAGGGAGTGAGTTTGTCCCCAGGTTGCATGCTACTGAGTATATCGACAGTAGCCTCCTGTGCTCCTCAAACACTCTTGCCCTGTTACAGGAAAACGCCAGGACTCATCTCTCATTGCAGGTCATTGGGCAGCTGCAGTGCTAGAGAATACGTTTTGATGGTGTTTATAATACTTACCTTGTTTAAGGTGGGGAAGGATGAAAAGAGAAAATGCTTTTGGAAATGGCAGCCTGGGTGACGTTAAAAGGAGTTGTCTGACATTATCTTGTAGAAAGAATCTAAGGATAGCACAGATTTACTAGGGGAAAAAACATCTAATTGCTTTATAGGAAATTGTTACTCAAATAAGGCAAAATATGGTGCTATATTGAAATAAACAGGGATGGAACTTCTGACCAAATAATGTTGTTAATCAGCAGAAATCTGTGGTTGGGCATCGATATGGAGTTCTTAAATTAGAGACTGTGGGTGGATGGCACAGTCTTTCTGTAACCCACATCTTTTATGTGTGAAATCATCAGTCAAAACATCATCATGTTAAGGGTGAAGCATAAAAGAAATCTATTGTGTCTTTATTTCAGATGATCAAACACATTATTTGCAGTGTCCCACCCTCATTGTGTCACAGGGAATCATTACTGATATGATCCACTGTCATCTGCTGTGTTCTGGTCTAGCTAATGCCTGACATGTGTTTCTGCATTTTTCTTACAGTCAGTCTGTTTCACTTCCCAGAGAAAGAATACAAGAGCTATAGATAGGGTTGGGTTCTTTTTTTGGTTTTGTGGCTGTATTCTTTGTACTATTCCTGCTCATGTGGACATGCCTCAATAACATTGGTACCATACAAACAGAGAATGCATATAAAGAGGTACCTGCTGTGATGACCTTTGTAAAGAGAAAGTATTGTGTCAATGTTGAGAAGTAAATAAAAGATTACTGTAAAATAAGAAAGTAGGAGAGAAAACAAAATGAGTCTGACCATTGATTTAAGTTCAGAACAATTTTAGAGGAGCTGAAAATGATTGCAAAGCTTAGAGACTGTTTAACAAATTAACACCAAGCACTTCTATTTATCATTTTTGGCTCATAGAATTAGCTTCATTTCAGAAGCAATGACAGATAGATTTCTTGATTTATGATACATTTCGGCTGAGGCTTGAAGCACTCTTAAAACCCTTGTAGCAAAAATCTTTTCTATTGACCTATGGGAGTTCTATTGATCTCCAAAAAAAGGCAAGGCAAGTTCCTATGGGAACTCCTATGGGAGTTCTATTGATCTCCTCAAAAGGCAAGCCACAAAATCACATCTTACAAAAGACAGTCATCAATCTTCATACTCTGTTTCATTTTCTTTTTAAGACATAATCTTTCACAGTGAAACTGCTCTTAATAAGATGTTCAAAAAGCCCCAAACCCACCAATGAGTTTAAAAATGTTTTTAAAGCAGCAACTTCATTTTCAAAACTGGTGGTTTTGTTCCAAGCTTGGATCTATGCTTCTTTGTGTCACTTAACTGTAGTGTTTTAAGTTTTAGTCAACTGCAGTGGCTAAGTGGTCAGTGAGAGATTTTGGGAGCTGGACTCCTGGGCCTGGCTGAGCTTTAGTTTAGGGAAACCTTTATGAATATTGGTGCTTCTGCTCTCTTGAATACAGAAACATGTCCAAACTTGGCAGGATTTTTCAAGTATGCTTAATTATTTATACTTCAAATTGTCTTGGATGCATTTAGAAAGTTGGCCCTGTCCTTACCATTTTAACATTTGAATTTATTTGATTATCTTTTATTCTCTTTCTTTTCCCACTCACTATTTTTCTTTGCTTTGCTGTAGTATTTATATGTATGTTATATTTATTTTTCAGCAATAAACAACAAAGGAAAACATAGGCCATTCTTGTCAGAATGGTATCAAGAAAGCCAAAGGTCATGAGGAGTTAACACTTAAATATTGTCCTTCAGCACAGATAGTCAGATCATGTTTGTGGTGAGATGACTGAGATATACTGCTTAGATGTCTACATTCTTGGGTGTTCTGCTGGATTGTATAGATATGCTTCTGCTGGAGCCATCAGTATTGTCAGATTTGAATTCTTGATGGTTTCCAGTTGGACATGCTCCTTGAGCACAGGCTCACATCTGTACATCTGCACTTTCAGTGAGAGAGGTCATGATTCCCATGTATATATTCCCAAATTTTCATTTCCCCATCTCAGAGGATGCTGATTCTTCTGCAATTCTGGGACATTACATTCCATCAGAATTGGGAAATGATGTTGTGTGAGAGGTTTGCAATCTAGTGGATCTCTTTCAACCTGAGGCTGTGGGCAAGGAAAACTACCACTGTAAGTGGAGCATGTCAAGTGCTGCATTGGATCAGGTGTGCAGAGCAGTGCTGGAATCTCTGTTGTTGGGGATTTGTGAAATGTGCCTGGATTGGACCTTAAGCAACCCAATCTAGTCCTGGAAGTTAGCCACATCTGGAGCAGAGTAAGGGCTTACATGTCAGAGATTGCTTTCAGCCTAAATTCTTCAATGATCCTATGAGATGATGTCCTGGGTTCAGCAGTAGCAGTCATGTTTTTCCTTTGTGCTAGCTGGTGCAGTGTTGTGTTTCGACTTCCAGCCTGAGAACAGTGTTGGTGAAGTCGATGTTTTCAGTTGTTGCTAAGTGATGTTTACCCTGACCAAGGACTTTGTGAGGCTCATGCTCTGCCAGGGAGGAGGGGAAGCTGTGAGGAAGCAGAGATGGGGCGCCTGACCCAGGCTAGCCAGGGAGGTATTCCATACCACAGCACGTCATGGCCGGGGTGGGGGGTAACTGGGAGTTACCAGGAAGGACACGGGCTTCTGGGTGGGACTCGTTTCCTGGCCGGTGGTATCGTATTCTCTTCCCTTGTTATTTTCCCTTATCATTGTTGTAGTTGGTGGTAGCAGTGGTGATTTGTGTTGTACATTGGTTGCTGGACTGTTCTTGTCTCAACCCGTAGGAGTTGCACTCTTTCGATCCTCCTCCCCGTTCCTCCGGGAGCGGGGAAGGGGAGAGCCCCGGTGGGGGGGGGGACACGGACCTCGATTGTTGTCAGCTCGGCACCACTCACTGGGAGTGAGTGAACAAGTTACCTGACTGGGTTTAAACCATGACAGTTCATCAAGTCTAATCACATGAGGCTAAATGCAAAGCACAGTTATCTGTATGCATTCGTGTACCCAAACAGGAAAGAAAATAAACAAACCATCTTCCTGCAGCTGTGAGAGTTAAAAAAAATCCATTGGCAAATAGCAATACTTCATGATAAAGACAGTTACGGCTAAGAGATAATGTAGGTGTCGAGAAGATATGCATGACTGAGCATATTTCCTATCAACTGTCATCACTGCTGGGTGGGGGGCACTGGTCAAGGCTGACTAAGATGACTCTGTCAGAAGTTTCAGGAGTGTAACTCCCAAAGTGATGAGTAGAAGCACCATGCATGACACTGCTGTTTCAGACAACTGCAGCATCTGTTTTTCGTATCAAGTCTTTTTCATTCTTCTATACTTTGAGTCCATTTCCATTATCAGTTACATGGAAATGTAGAAATACTGTTCAAAGTTTTTTTGCAGTGTGGTACTGCACCACACTGGGACTTTTTGTAAGTTCATTCTTTGGTCTTGAAAAGTTTGTATATGTAATTGCGTACTTTGATTTTGGTCTGTATTTCCCCAGTGCACAGGGGTTTAGTGAATTCAAATGATTAACAAATACTGGCAGTCAGGTCTTTTTTTTTTTTTATCAGCATGCCTGCCAAGTGTTAGCAGGATTCAATTTAAAAAGATTGAGATAATGATCTCTCTCCTTATAGCATGTTACTTTGTCTGGCCTGTACAGCCCATTTTTCTCTCAGACAGTCAAGTTACGCAACATGGAAGCTTTTAAAGCATATAGATAAATAGCAAAATCCTAACACTGACTGATTTCTTTGTACCTGTGTCAAATCTAACTTTGAAAAAATATTCTTGCATTTAAATGGGTAAGTGCAAATTTTTCGTTACATTTCTGTTAAAAGTGTGTGCTAATGGGAAAATGATAGGCTTCATTGCCTTCAAATTTGAATTGTAGTAAAAATGAACTGCGAAAACAGTTTGATTTTATATTATAAAAATAACAAAAATTAGCTTGATTTTATGATATATTTTCATGTAATTCCTTTATATTTGTAGCTACAGTACAGTAAAATAGTTCATCACTTTTACGGAGGCTTTTGCTTTAGTGTCCAGAAGATATTATCTCACAATATGATCTTCTAGAACTACTCAGAGGTGTTTAAACCAGTGACTCCCTTTCTGACTCTTTTTTTTCCATTATGAAAGTAAGGCAGTGTTGGGAATTCTTGGTTGGAAGGTCTCCTCTGTAGGTTTCGTGTTCATCCTCCTGCTCAGAGCACTACTGCCACCAGCGCTACTCAGATAAACTGTGGCACTGTTCAGCTGTCGTGAAAATTGCTATGCGTAGAAAAGGATATATATGTATACATACATCAGTATAACTTTTTAAAGTTTAGTTTTCTGTTTCAAGTTCTAAAACTATTACAATTATGCAGAAAGAATTATGAGAGTGGAAGATGGTCTCTAATAAATTCTGGTTTAGTTGTCTTAAGTTTCTCAACTTTGCTGGTGGTCTTCTACTGAATTGTTTAGGATCTATTCTAAATCCTTTTGAAATCAGCAAGCACCAGGGGAATAGAGCAGGCCTGAGTGCTGTCACAGACACTGGCTTTAGGATCAGTGGAAATTTGCCACACAGATACATTTCTATCACAGTGTGCTGATGCACTGAAGGTGAAACACTCTGTGGAAATGTGTCAACACTGATGAAGCTTTCAAAGAATGTTAAATACGTAGATCTACTTTACAACAGCTGTAAAATCAATATAAAGGGTGAGAGGAGATGCTTTCCTGCTGTTTGTGGTGTTCTGCCTCTTCTCAGGTGCGCAGGTATGGAATAAACAATGTAAAAGTTGTGTAAGGTGGGATGTGGAAAGAACCTTGAGTATATTAAACTGGGCAGGATATAGGTGTGATTTTGGGCAGAGCATAATTATAAGCTTTTGAAAAAGGAAGCATTTTTGAACATAAAGGCAAAGTGGGCTTTATGGTATGTTATTTATTTAATAAAAAAATGATGAGGTAAATTAATTTATAAAAGTCTGTATATTTGAATGTGTCTATACTACTTACTAGATGGGATTTCTTGCTTGTCTTACCAATAACAGGAAGAGAGATTCATGACTGAAGATCTCAATATATGATTTAACTTCTATATTTTAAATAGTTAACCATCTCTGAGGAACTTGATTTATGTGCAGAGCTGGTCTTGAAAGTATTGCTTATTCTGAGGGAACAATCTTTTTTTCATGTCTATTGTATTTGTCTCCTGACTTTCATCTCTTGTCGGCCAGTATTAGCTTACATTTTGTAGTATCCTGTTGTTACTATGTACCGGTGTTTTTCCTGCATGATAATACATTTTCTCTACTTACAAGAATTGTTGGAGCACAGTAATTGTTGGATAATAAACAACTGTTGTCATCTGCTAGAAAGAACAGAAAAGTAGAGTAAGGATGGTGGTACGGTAACTGCCCCTTTTACTCCACCATAAAGCGGAAAATAGTAAGTCGGTCAAGTGAAGCTTTTGAAATGGAAAGGATGAAACTTTATTTTTTTAATAACATGGAAGGAAGCTGCCAATGAATTGTGTAACAGCCTGTTTTCAGCATGTCAGCACTTGCAAACTTGTTTCTGCTATCAGAACAATGTGATTTTCTTGGTTGATCTCTTCACTTAGGTAGTGAAACAAATTTTCTAGGCTAGCTAAAGGCAGGCCTCTTTTAAGTCATTGGGATGCTTTCTTGTAAAATTTCAGTTTACCCCTGGTTCTCTCTTTCTCAGTAGATTTCTTTGCAGGTTGTCATACCATATTATCTGAAATGGTTTACAGGGTAACCACACCAGAAAGTAACAAAGAATCTGTGGCTGCAGTTACAGGCAGAGGTATGGGTTCTTACCCACATCAGAAGGACTAAAATGACACTCGTAACCTTCTGGGGAGTAGTCAGCATAGATTTATGAAGGGGAGATGATATCTGAACAACCTGACAGACTTCCACAATGAGATGACTGGCTTGGCAGATGAAGGGAGGGCAGTTGATGTTGTTTAGCTTGAGTTTAGAAAGGCTTTCAACACTGCCTCCTATAAGATCTCTCTTAGACAACCTGAAGAAACGTAGTCTGGAGTAATAGACAGTGATTGAAAACTAGCTGAACTTCTGGGCTCAGACAGTTGCCATCAGCAGCATGAAACCTAGCTGGAGTCAAGCCACTAATGGTGTTCCCCAGGGGCCAGTACTGGGGCCAGTCCTGCTGTCCTGGGTTCAGCAGTAGCAGTCATTTTTCTCCTTCTTGGTAGCTGGTGCAGTGCAGTGTTTTGACTTTCAGCTCGGGAACAGAGCTGATAACAATGGTGTTCTGGTTTGGCCAAGGACTTTGTGAGCCTCATGCTCTGCCAGGGAAGAGTGAAAGCCGGGAGGAAGCAGAGGCAGGACACCTGACCCAAGCTAGCCGAAGAGGTATTCCATATCACAGCACATCATGCCCAGGATGTAACTGGGAGTTAGCCGGAAGGGCTGGTAGACTGTGGGGTTGGAGGAGGTATGGGTCAGTGCTTGGTCAGGCTGGGGGGGGTGGGGGCGAGTTATCGGTCAGCTGGTGATGAGGTGTTGCATTCTCTTCCCTTGTTATTTCCTTTATCATTATTATCATTGGTGGTAGCAGTAGTGATTTGTGTTATACTTTAGTTACTAAACTGTTCTTATCTCAACCTGTGGGTTCTTATCTCTCCCACTGGGAGTAGGGCGGGGGAAAGAAGGGCGGGGGGGGGGGGGGGGGGGGGGGGGGGGGGGGGTGTGAGGGTTTAAACCAGTTGCCTGACTGGGTTTAAAAGACGACACCTGCTTAATGTCATTAGGTTAGTGGTTAATTAGCAAGATGAATGTAGTGCCTTTCACAGGGACACTGACAGTCTGGAGTGTGGAGCCAGCAGGAATCTCCTGAAGTTTAGTGAAGGGGAGCGCCTAGTATTGCACATGGGAGGAATAACCTTATGAAGTTAGCAGCAGAAATGCAAAGTCCTCAGCAATGGGAGAAACAACCTATGCAGCAGCAGCTGCTTGCCAGGGGCTCTGAAGAAGAGGACTCAAGAGTCCTGGTAGACAAGAAGTTGAAAATGAGCCAGCAGTGTCCCCTTGCCATAGAGGGCCAACATTGTCCTAGGCTGAGTCAGTAAAGGTGTTTCAAGAAGATCAGGGAAAAAGCACCCCTCAGCTCAGCACTGGTGAGACCCATCTGGTCTGCTGTGCTTAGTTCTGGGCTCCCCAGTGCAAGAATGGTATGGACATACTGTAGCATGTTCAGCAAAGGGCCACAGAGATGGTTAAGGAATTGGAGCATGTGTCATAATAATGATTTAAAAAAAATAACTTATTTACAGAATATTTTTGTTATTTTATTATAATAACTTTTACTATTTTTATTAGTTGCTTTGATTTTTATTTACTTTCTAATTTCACTTACAAAATATATTTTCTTATGTAAAAGAATAACATTTCAAGCTGAAAAAAGAGAGTAAGTAGAAATAAGTGATTTTTTTTTTTTCTAACCTGTTTTCTTTTGAGCACTGATTTGGCTGAGAAGTGTGTTATTGCCTCTTTCTTAATTCTAAAATTAGTGAAAGATTTCAATGTTTTGGAAAGTGAAGGGGCTGGCGTGACCTACCAACTCCCATCGCACAATTTCTAAAACCTGAGATTTTTAGATTAAAACATACATTTCAATTTTAGATTAGAAAAATGCAGCCTGAAGCTGTATGGCATTTATTACACCAAGAATAAACATATAATAAAATAATTATGAAAGGGAATGTTTAATTTTTGTGATATGTAGTTTAAGTCCAATTTTAAATCATATAAATATAATTAATTCCTTCGGTTGCCTGTGTTGGAAAAGCATTTCAGGAAAAGATGGGGGACAGGCAGGAAGCTGAGAGGTGTAGTCCTCTTAAATGTACTTTCCACACTAAGCCAATAAACTCTAAGTTTGTTGTGCCCTAAAGCCAAAAGTTCCTTGTCTTTTTAACTTTGCCTCAGACAGCAGCTAAAAAGGAGCAGCACAATTGTAAAACAAAGGATCCCACAGGCAAATCTCAGGCGTATCAAAAGTAACTCCTTGGCCTCCCCTGTCCCACCAAGCTAAACAAAGCTTAGTGACCCATTTCTGGCAATGCTCACTGTCTGAAGGTCACAGTCTACTGGCAATGTTTGAATTTAAAGTTCCTAACATAAATGATTTATAAACTGTATGAACAACCTTTTCCTAAAGAAACAATCTGTTTTGTCCATTTGTGATGAATTGCTGCAAACTGGCAGCTTACAATTGCATGTTTATCTAAACGATGCAAAATTAAAGTGCCATCGGAGATCTCTTAAGTGCTAGAAACACTTGATATGGTACAAAAGGAGCTGGAAGGAAAGAAGGGATCCCCTCCAGGACCCCCAGCCAGTCACTATAGGGTGAGTATTTAGGAACTGCAGCTGAGCTGTGAAATGCCAGCATTTTCAGCTCAATTCCCCTCCCAATACACTACTTGAGTCTGTTCGTCTTTCTAACTTTCACACAAGTAATTATTAATTTTTTTTTGAGTGAATTGATCCCAGATAGTCAGACCTCAGGACAGCAAGAAAAAACACACAGGTCTGCATTTGATTATACATCATCTTAGTGTTTAAATGTTGGCTGAATTGTTTCAGAAGTGTTAGAAGGGCACAAATGGTGCACAAGGAGAAGATACGAAGCAAAAATAGAAACATCACAAGAGGATGAGTGTATGGAAAAGAGACAGCAGAACTCTTTGTCTCAGGCTGTTACTGACTTATTTGTGTAAACCTATACCTCATATGTTCTTAATTTCCAGGAAAGGTGGTATTTATCTTAGCAGTGTCTCCAGTAATCAGCTGATCAGAAGAAGATTACGGTTACTGCCAAAGCTTGCCTCTAAGAATGCGAGACCCATGTGTGAAATCCCATCACACTGACTTCTTACAAAGGCAGCAGCCAGTCTTAGCCAAACACATAACAAAAAGGAGGTCATCAACACCGTGATACCCAAACTGACTTCTCATTAGTTACCCAGTGTTCTGTAATCCTGTAAATGGCTTTTCTCTCTCTTAACGATATATATGAAATTGAGTGTCCTGCTGCAGAAAACATCACAGATTCTTCATTCCTGTATATTTTCCTCCTCATTTTAGCCTCTCTTTAGTTGTATTTGGCTAGAGATCAATCTAAATAAAAATCTGAGCAGATTAAATACAGTACTTGCTTTAACATCTCTTGTCCTCATATGAAAAGGTAAAATCAGAAAATAAGATCTGACCTGTTTAACACTTGACATTATTGAAATCTAGGAAACTAGAGTGTGAAAGTGAAGAACCTGAAATACCTTCTTTCTTTCAAGTATCACTAAAAAGGAAAGCCTCCACTAATTGTTTCTACATAAACCCAAAGCTCTTCTCAGACCTGCCTGGAGAGAAATACTGCATTTTGCTCTTTTTCTCTAGTTCTCATTACTGCTGCATTCACTGCCTTATCCATGAGAGCTCCAAAGTCACAGATGCCAGCCTGGGTGCTGTTGCCTGTGACAAAACAGGTAAAGCCCAGGTTGCATCTGCCTTGGTTGTCTCCTGGTCTCTTTGTCAGTCTGGAAGGTCCCACCAGGCACATGGTTGCTATGGTGACATTGGAAGGCCCTTCTGACAGAACACTCCAGAGACGAGGTCACTAGCCTGACCGGATACCATCACTGGTGGCCCCTCTCCTTGGTTACAGCCTGATGGATAATATTGCTGCACAATGATCCCCACATTCAACTGCTCTCAGATATACATTTTTATACTTCTCCCTAATGCCACACCTTTTCCAGTTTTTCTTAGCCTGCTCTCTCATATTTTCCTGGAGAAAATTACTGCAGCTGGTTATGCTTTACTTCATGAGCACAGTTTCTTCTGTGCTACTTTTTCACATCCGGCCCACAGGTAATGAAGTTAAAGAAGCACAAAAGGAAAGGAAGATGGAGATCTCAGTATCAAAGTAGAAACTGTTGCAGAAAAGGCTGGAGTATTGTATATAAATGAAATCCATAAAACTAGCTTCACCCATGTACCACTTTTTTCATAGGTGATCTCTTTGTTGTTGGAGACAGTCTAGTTTACTTGGTACTTTCATGAGAGAATTTCCCAGTCTGAGAATTTACTATTTAAAAATGGAAAATTCCTCCCATTTAATTTTGCATACAGATGTTTTCCTCCTTTTATCTAAATTAATAATTCATTTGAATGAATTTTTTGGAATAATCTTATCCTCACATGCAGAGACTTTATCAAAGTACAATGTGTATTTGTATTAATGGGATGATTTACTGGGAGCATATTCTGTTCAGTGCCAGTGTTCTCTATCTCCAGTGATTATTTCTGTCATCACATGTTTTATTTATTTATTTTTTGGCTGAACTTTCGTAGGTATTGCCTTTCACTAATAAGAATCAGTCAGGAAAATTGTGACTTGCAAATTGTATGTTCCGTCAGTACCTCCAAGCCATCAACTGTTATGATGAGTACAGAGAAAACGTGAAAGAATGGCCTTGTAAGTAAGGTTTTTGTACAGGATTCAGAAAATCTGTGATAATTTGTGGTTCTGCCACACAGTTCTTATGTAGCCTCTGGAGAATTGTGTAGGTTCAGAATCCAAGCTGTATAAAAACGGTAATGATAATTCCTCCACTTTGAATTTACCTTGCTCTTGCATTACACCTTTTTCAGAAAATGCTATAACTTTTACTGCATTTACATGAAGGCTCGAAGAGTGGTCTGTGGGCTCCTTTGGGTCCACAATAACACAAGTAATGTGTTAGGAGCAACAAATCATCCCTCTTTTGGCATATGTTCCGCGGAAAATAATAGGTGGGCTTGCTGTGACTTACCCTGAAGGCATGGCATTAATGTGTTGTAGTCACACATGCTAGTTCTAATTTCCTATCATTTATCACGAGGATGGCTCTAAAAATCAATAAAGAAAACATTTCTCCATCAGACTCAATTGCCCATAAATATAGGTGAAATAGATTTATGTCTGACTTAGCAATGCTTTCTTAACCCTTTGTCAGGGGCAATGTGCTGTCCCTAGAACCAGGGCAATGCAGTAAGCGCATGGACTGAGTGCAAGGCTGAAACACGTCCCTGGTGCACCAGTCAAAAGAGAGTGCCTACCAGGTTTACCTACGTTTCATTAAAATAATGTCAGAAATCCATGTTGTTAAAATTATGAGGTTCATTAAGAATTATATGGAATTCCTCCAGAAAGGAAGGGATCTTATATCTACTTGTACCAACTTCATCTGATGCTTCAGAATGAAACTGAGTCAGATTCCACGTTTTTTTCCTCAGTGAACCTCAATAAAGTTGCATTTGTGTCACTAAGAATGTATGGTTTTGCAGGCAAAACATAATTTCTGACTTCCCAGGGAAAGCTTTCCAAATCCAAACAGGAAATAAGAAAACAAATCATTTCACTTTCAAGTTACTTTGAAATACTTAATTTGGCTGGTCACATCCTCTGCATCCAGCATCTGTCAAAAGAGCTAACTTCCAGAAAAGTAACGAAAAGGCTGGACGGTTATGCTCTCCCACTCTTGGGTACAATAACCTTTCCTACCCCTGAAGTTGAACAGTTAGCAGCTGACATGAAGTAAGACTCTTGGGTCTATTGCTTGCATATTCACAAATACTGGTAATGATCACTGGGGTTCTGCACAGTTTCTCCAGAAAGAGGATTCATGCTGCTCTCCCTGAATCTAAAGCACTTCACTGGAGAAATGCATTAAGTATACAGGCTGAGAATTGGGAGTCTTCACAAACAAATCAATTCTGACAAGAGCAGACCAGAAACAAACGGTCGGGTTAGTTTAATATCCACCCTGGCAGCCTGCGTGGAAAGCTGACAGCCCCTCGCCTGGCTTGGGCTATTGGAAAGCATCAAAAGATTTTCAGAATTTGGCAGAACTTAGTGCAACTGCAGTCACTGACATGACAGGACTTGAGCCCTGGTGGCTCCTGAAGGAGATTCTGCCCAGAAAGTCATGGTAGAATGAAGACTGAAGCACTTACAAATCTGATTTTAAACTTGAAATTGTTAACAGTATAATATCCAAGATTTCAGGCTCTCATAGGTAAAGATTGTTAGGAAAGCTACCACAAGCTCCTTTTTCCTCGTCCTTTTGAGAGAGTTCATGGTCTAAAAACAACATTTGACTCACATGAGATTCTACTTTCAGGTTTTTGCATTTTTGAGATATATTTTGCCACTGGAGGAGACAGTAGAAGCAAAGCAAAAGAATTGTTGATGCATATGAAGTGTAGCTCTTTGTCAAATCACTCATGGATAGCACTGGAGCTCCTCCAATTCTGTGTAACGAGTCCTCCAGAGAAGAAATCTTGACCAAATTTCTGGCATCTCTAGCAGGAGGCAGGCAGGAGACTGGAGACTGAGCAAGGACTGATAAAACACACGGATTTAAGGTGACAGCCTGAACTTTGAAATCAGATACTTGCTTTGGCAGGAGCTGAAACAGCCTCAAAAAGAACACCTGTTGAACCAACATGAGGAGTCATGTTGCACAGTTTCTCCTTTCACCTGCCATGTGGTCTTTGGGACTGAGAGATAAGTTTGCAAGGAAGCTGTGGATGTAGTTTAAACCAAAATGAAATAAATGTTATTAGGTTTTATGTTTTGACATGAACTTTTTATGCCCATTTAAAATGTCCATTTTCCTACCTTTCACTGTTCTCAGAAAAGTTCATGATAGTTTTATTCTGCATTTATCTCCATGTTTCTTCTTTCTTTTTCTTTTCTTTTTTTTTTTTTATTGTTTCCTGTGTTGCTACAGCCCTCCTGCTTCTCCCTGAGAAACTGTTTTCATATGAGTCCTGTTTCTCCAGCCTCACACATCCTTCTTGTCTGTCTTGAGCTCTGTCAACCCTGTCTGCTGTTCCACATACCCCAGGTAATTGTCTGTGATGGATCCTGTACTCAGAACCACTCCCCCAGTCCCTTCCACTACCCCTCAACACATCTTGAATGTCTTCCCATCACTCATGGGTCTTGTTGTACATGACGTTTGACTGAGGCCTGCAGGAGCAGAGTGTATAGGCAGCAGTGCAAACCTAAGCAGCTTTGAGAACAGAGCTCCCATTGAAGGTGCAGCCCTCAGTGATACTTTCCTAACCCTAGAGAGGTTGCCGTCAAGCTGGAGGGTGATGGCTCTGCTGGGAGATGCGGTGTGCTGTGCCGGTGAGACTGAGTGCTTGCAATTCCTTGGAATAATGTGGATATACTGGAATCAGAGAGGCTTTCACTGGAATTGGTGCACTTCAATGCTAATACTAAGAGCCTGTCAAAACTAATTTTAATGAAATGAGCCTTTGTTAAAGTTGAGATCACTTTAACAAAAATTATGGGGAGGGGAAAGGCATCTGAGGCAGTTTCACAGCTGCATGAGTAGACTTTTCCTGCCACTCCCTGGCCAGCTTCTTCTCCAATTCCAAACAATTCAAGTTTGAAAGATAATGTTGTGCAAAGTTTCTGCAGTTGTTCTAGTGTTTACTGAAAACAAATTTCAAGGCAGTAATGTGCAAAATGACTGATTCCCTTCAGTTCGTTCTATCTTTAGGTCTTGCTAAAGTTTCTATCTTTCAGGTCTCTCAAAGACCATGCAGAAGGAAGCAATACCATCCAGAAGGACTAGCAGTGTGTTTACAGCATATTTCATTCAAGAATGGATTACGTAAATATACAAAATTGGGTTGATTTTTGTTTTAAGCTTTGCTACATGTGTTTTCTTTGCTTTAAGGGGGGGCGCTGTCTTTTCAAAAGATAGCATTCCAAGGCAGAACTATGAAAAAATTATCAGATACATATGATGAAAATAAGGCAATACAATTCAGCCAGTTTATTATATAGGTCATTGTCAGCGTAGAGTAGGGGAAAAAATTCATTTCTGACAAATCATCCATCTCAATAAACAGTTATTACATTCTGCGTTCTAAGACTTTTTTCTCTATTGTTTTTCTATAAAGCAGAAGACATAGCAGTTTGTTTTCTTTTCAAAGAGCTCTTGTGTGCATGAAGAATAGTGAACTACAGGGATTGTTTATATTGGACCACAATGCAAGTTTTATCCCAGGGATTGCAGGGTGCAATGGAGAACATCCATTTGTTTGGTTTGTTTTCAATCTACGTGCTGTGTTCCTTCAAAAAGCAATAAGTAGATCAGACCTTCCAGGGCAGATTGTTCTTTCTCTTGGGAGTGTCTGAGGCTGTTCCCAGGGTGGGTCTTGCAGCCCACAGACCTGGAGGCAGAGGCAAAGAACTGGAGCCTGCAGTTCACAGAGAGACACTACTGGGAGGAACAGGGAGCAGCTAAACCCCACACCTGGGGAGTGACAGTGAAAACCCAAAAGATTTGTGTAGAGTTTCCTGCAACCCAGAAAGTTCTTGACTAAACTGAAAGCAAGCAGGGAGAAAAGTGGTTTATGAGCTTTAAAAACCTTTGGTTTATGAGCTTTAAAAACCTGTGGTTTGCTCATTTTTTATGATTTTATCATTTAGGGGTTTTTATCACCTTTTACTTACCCTGTTTAAAAAG